CACACACACACACACACACACACACACTCCTCAACGTTTTTCTTTTCTAAGTTTGAAGCTCAATCAAAGCCGACTGGTTTCTTCTGTGAATGGCCACAGTTAGAGTGTCTTATTGAAGCTTTTTGTAGCACGGTGTTGCACTTCATGGACGGTCCCTAGGTCAGTGATCCTCAATCCTGGTCCTGGAGGACCCAGCATATTTACTAGTAAATATTAAAAAAAAACATTATTTAAGGTGTAAAAGTTGCAGAATGGGACTTTAACTGCATACACTGTTCTTGACACTCCGACTAGTAGTTAGCTCATCAGTCCTATAGGATGTAAATGTAACTTCTCCATTCAGGAAGCTGCAAAAGATAAGGAGGTATTGGGTGTTTCTCAATACCAAGGAACCTTGCCTTGATGTCTTGGCCCCACCCCGGTTGCCTAGGAGATACGTCATCGGGAGCCGCCAAGACGTGTTCCAATATTCATGTTTATTCAATTAGCAGACACTTTTATCCAAAGCGACTTACCATTTATAACCTGTAGGGCATGTTGTGATCTGTGGGGGAAACCGGAGCACCCGGAGCAAACCCACGCATGCATGGGGAGAACACGCAACTCCACGCAGAAAGGCCGCAGCCGAGTTTCGAACCTGCGACCTTCGTGCTGCGAGGCAACAGTGCTAACCACTGCGCCACCATGCAGCCTGTTCTACCATGTTCTACCGAGGCGTGTGTTCTCCGTTTGTTAGCCGTTTAGCTAGCTGAGCGAGGATACATGTGAGGTGTCTTGTAGCCTAGCCTTGGTCAAAAATTACCCACAATACATCTCGGTACTTTCAAAAAGACGGTGGATCAGAAGCCGGCAGCTACTTCGGGGACAATTTTCAAGCTTTGGTGGCTAGCGGGTAGTAACTCACTTATATATTTAATTTAATAAACATAACCACAATTTAAAAAGTAAAAGGCTCGTTATATATTTATATTGAGACTAATATATATAAAATATAACGTTATCTCCTGTGTCACGTGACGTTACGTGACCGCCGTGGAAGCCGCGGTCACGTGATGCAAGTCTGTTCCCATTTAACCGTTTTCTTTGACCAAGGAAGGATCGTGTCCTCACAAGACATCGCCTCGCAAGGCAAGACGCCTTGACATTGAGAAACACCCGTTGTTAAAAAATCACCACAGTCGCCATCTTTTCCCCCAATAACTCCTTCCCTTTCCTACATATTTTTTTCTACTTGTCCTCAGATGGCCGCTCTGCCCTATCTAAAGAGGAATCCCACCCGCAAACATGGCTAAAAGGTCAGTCGATCTTCTGCCGTATGAGTTGCACATATTCAAATATGCAGCTATTTCTCATATGCTGTCTCCATCTCACACAGACACAAAAACAAACTCCATCCCTACCTCCCCTCCTTCAGCTGTGAGGCAAACAGAGGGGAAGACAGACGACGAGTGCAGTCAAGTGGCACGTATGCAATCTGTTGTCTGCACGGTGGCATCAGTGCAAGTGTTTAAAGAGCCTCGTGCGCACACAGAGCGATGCTTTTAGTGGACAAGAGATCCCACATGTTTAACCAGATGAAGAGGTGCATGTGTTGCACAGACAGAGATAACTGCACATGTTGTGCAGACGTAGCTGTGCAGGTGCGCTTCCTTCCTGCCTTCGCTGCAGCGTTGCTACCTGGCTGTTGTGACGCGACTGTGGTGTAATGCAGCGGCAGCAAGGGTGTCACTGAGTTCATGGACATAAAGCAAACCACAGCCAGACTAGTCTGCTCCTCTCAGGAATAGCAATGGAGGAGGAGCGTGCACGTGGGTGGCAAGATTGAGGACGATTTGGAAACTGAAAGGGAGGAAGAGACAGAAAGACGGATTTGAAGAAGGACAGATGGGCTAAAGATGAGACAGTGAGTTCCTAGGTGCCACGCACCACCGCTGCATAAGGTGTTTCAGCCACGTCAAGCCAGGGTCACTACGGGAATCAGAAGCACGCACGTGCGTGTCCAAATCTCTCCTTTGCTCTGATGCACATGGATGTAAACAAAAGGACAGGAGAAAGACAGCGACAGGCAGATGGACAGACAGGTAAACAGAAGGAAGTCACCACAGACAAAAACAGAGCAGAGACGGATGAGCTGGAGCTCCGAGAGAAAGAGAGGGAGAGAGGGCGAGTGCAGCAAGATGAGAAAAGGTTATAAAATGTCTGAGTTCTGGAAAATCCTTGACTGCAGATGTTTTTTGATAAGAACCCAAGTAACTTGAAAGCTGATCAGCATTCCATGAATAATGATCTTGAGGGGAGAAAATGAGGAAGTGCTGCATGGGAAAATTCCCATTCTAGACTTTTGGGTTGAAATCTGAAAAAGAAAAGAAGTCGTGGATGTTCACAGAAATCCTGCACATGACGTGAAGAATCTTTAACTTGTCATCAGCACAGCTTTGGGCCAAACCGGCGGGATAATCTGTCCTCTTCAGCTGTCTGTGACCGCTGATTCCGTTTGACACGGTAATCTGTGGAAATCACGGAGGGCTGCTCCATGGAGTGGACTGTATTTACTATAGATTACCTCTTCCACTGGCGTGCATTAGTCCGGTGACAGCTTTGCAGACTGCAGGGAAAACACCAATCATACGCCACTGACTAACTCCTGGTGATTCTACCACTTTGGCCCAATGGCCTCCTCGGACTCCCCAAACCACTTGTGTGAGTGAGTGACTCTCTCTCTCTCTCTCTCTTCGAGGCCAGGTGTCAAGTTCCGCTGCTGTCACCTCTGTCAGAGCGTCTGCCCCGTTTTCTTTTCCTGTCATAAATGAATAGAACAAATCAGATCCCGGGAATGCGCCGGCATCGTGCCACATACGCACCACTTTTCCCTTTTTTCCACACAAAGCTCATCTGCATGCGACAAACTGCCCTCTGACTGCTGAGGACAGCACGGAGATGACATCACTTCCTCGGGACAGATGAGCTAAGGGATTCAGTTGGGAAGATGGGAAGGAGGAGCGAAGACGCATTTATCAATAAACTGTGTATAAACATGTACGTTTCCCAAGTTAACTGTCGGATGCAGTTAAGATTATATGAGCCACTTCTTCCTCCATATGCATCTAGACTCTGATGACCTTGGAGATCGGCTTCTCTGATCTGCAGAGTGTGTTTATTCTCTTTTTTTTCCCCAGCCAGACATGAGGCAAGAATCATAGTTAACCATGCCTTAAGACAAGGAATGAGACAGAAAGCTGCATAGAGACACAAAAGCCGGATGTGTGAACGTGAAAAACTGAGCAAAATGGAGAGAGGTGTTCAGATTAGTGACTGAGAACGGCAAAAACAGCCCCTTCAGTATAGATCTAAGATAAGACGTGTTGTCATTTTTTTTAGAAAAACACCATTTTGTTGCTTTTGTTCAGCTTTAAAGGTCTGATTCAGTTCTGGCGCTCCTGTTTCAGGAAGTAGAAGTTAGCCAGAGGAGTGAGGGGTGGAAAACTGCAGGATGTGGAGTGTTACTCATTAACTCATTCACTGCCAACGACGACTAAAGTCATCGTTTGCAATTTTTTTTACTGTGTGGGCGTCGGAACGAGCCCCCTCACCGTGAGAACAAACATCCCAGCTCTAAAGCCGATCTTCATCCGCAAACGTCGCACGTCACGTGATCAGGAATCAGAACATCCATGTGTTAGGAGATCGTTTTGGGCCGCTGCTGTAAAAAAATTGAGGCGCAAACTGGAAAAGCTTCTGCCGATCACAATTCAACAACTGATTATGAAAGAATGGATAAAACTCAAAACACGCGGATTCTTCCTGATGTAAGAGGCGAGTCTAGTCTTTGTTTTGTTAGTTTTGGCGTCGACATCATCCTAGCACGCAATGTTCTGTGACTCTTAAGAAAACAGTAAAAACGGTGAGAAACGCTGGCAGCGAATGATTTAATATTCAAATGTATCGCCTCTGATTGGCTAACAGCAATGCAACTCTTCCACTGCCCACGTTCACTCATCTTCCTTTGGTAAAAAGTGCAACACTGATGTTTTACCGCCACAAATAACACCCGTGTCAACGTTTTCCGCCATGCTGTGGAGTTGCTAATGCTAACAGTTAGCTTCTACTAGCCGAGACGTGCCCTCCTCTTTCCTGCATGCTAAACCAACAACAGCCTTCCTTGTGGCAAGTCAAGATGGGTGAGTCCATGAATGCAAATTTTCAGAGTGACGTGGATCTGTGCGGTTTTTCTCTGACCTGAGTGTTGGTAGGATATAGGGGCAGAAGACAAATTTCAAATTACAGAATGCATGTGAGACTCGGGGTGACTGGACGTTTTTCAAAAAGAACAGATGTTCTGTTTGTCGGCGAAACCTTTGTGTCCCCTTTATGATTCCTGTCAGTGGTTTAGTCCACCTGTCTCAAGCATCACCAGAGTACTGTCATGACACACCCCTTTTTTCAGACCCGTCACGTCCTTGACCCACAAGTTATCTCATTAAAGTGTGCCGGAGATAACCACAGCTTTATTATTGCACTCAGTGAGGCCCGATGGCGACCTCGCATCCACCGTTTTCTGTGTCGTCGCGTGCGGATGTGCTCGTGCTCGTGAGTCAGACTCAAACAGATGGTCTGGTTGATGTTGGATTTCTGAGGGCAGCCGAAGTATAAACACCAGTCGTCCTGTTAGCTTTACAAGCCAAGGCTTTTCACATGAGGTGGTGTAAGTGTGTACTTTTCTTTTACTTCATTCACAAACACGTTTATTAGCTGTGATGTTGATAACGAGAGGACACGGCTCCCAGAGGAACCAGCCAGCATCGCTGCGTTTGACTTCACTTTTCTGCAGTCTTTGATATCCTTGCTCTCGATCAAAGCAGCAAAATCTGGTGCAAACGCACACTTCATTCAAACACACACAGAAGCATCACTTTAAACGAGATGTTGCCATTAAAGGAAGAAGATGAAGTAACGATGGCTAACTCGGCTAAACACACATAGAGTAAACAGCTGAGACTTACTGTACATCTGCAAGGACTCATCTGACTGCTGCTGAGGGGGACGGAAAGCTAAAACCTCATGCTTGCTTCGCGGCAATCTTCTCTTTCACTCGCTCTGTCACTACTCTCCCTCCTCCTCCCTTTTTTCCCTTCACTTTCACCCTGCCCTGCCTCTTTTTCCTTCTTCCTCCTCCTCCGTCTCCTCCTTTCCTTCCTTCCTTCCTCCCTCCTGGCTGAGCCTTACTGTATTCCGCTAAACGGGGCTCCATATAAGGCAGCACAGCTAAACATGTCACACATAATTTATCCACAGCAGGCTGCAAGTTCACCTTTCACAGCTCGCACTTGGATCGTATGCAAAAGAGGGAGGAGAGGGAGGGAAGCGAGGAGGGAGGGAGGGAGGGAGTAATGTAGGGGAACGGACAAACTTCTGCTGTCAACAGCCACGTTCCCACAATTTCACACTGGGTGAAAAGTGTGTGTGCATCTGTTTGCGTGTGTTAACAAATGCTGACAGTCAGAGCGTGAAAAAGCAACCCAGAGACCAAAATGCGTTTCACCTCCCCCGTTTCCCCCGTCTCTCCGCCATCTGAGTCTGCAGGCGGTAAACCTTCACAGATGCTTTGAGACCTGCACGTCTACTTTAAAACGTGGCTGGCAGAAGAAACTCCAAATCAAAAGATGGCGAGAAGTGATCAAGAAAAGAGGAGTTCACTTGTATTTGCAGATGTTGCCCGAAAAAGTGAAATAAAGCTAAAACATCAACAAACAAGACGGCTTCCTGGTTTTGCCCGCGAGCATCATCCCTCAGATCACAGCTGAGGTTCTGCTAAATCGACGGCTTTACAATCTCCAGGCCGCTGATCGCACCTTCAAGATGAGCAGAAAGTGACGCTCAGACTTCAGCTGAGGCGCAAAAGCAAGACAGCGAAAAGGAGAAGCAGGGGAACAGGGTGGGAAGAATAATAGCTGCTCTTGAGTCGCGGCGCTGGCTGGTATTTTCCTCCCTCCTCCACAGCTTCAGTCCACTCACAGGACAGCAAGAGTCACAGCTCTGTTGCCATGGTGTCTAACTCCATCAAACACCACGTCAGGTGCATGTGCGTGTGAGCATCTGTGTGTGTGTTTGTCGGTGTGTGTGTGTGTGTGTGTGTGTGTGTGTGTTGGGTGGGACTGAGTCAGAGCCACATCACCGACCAATGGCTGCAATTTATCAGGCTGTTTGGAATTTATCACCATATTGGCTTTTGTGCGTACAAGTGATTGCGTGTGTGTGTGTGTGTGTGTGTGTGTGTGTGTGTGTGTGTGTGTGTGTGTGTGTGTGTGTAACAGAAAGGTGTTGATTGAACAGCAGCCCGCAGCCTGCCCCCTAGAGCACCTATGATGAATGTCTGAACTGCCCTACGTGTTAATGTTTAGCTCTGGCTTCTATAAATATTTAGCAGTTCGCTCATCGAGCCAAGGCGACACACCACGGAGGCCGCTTATGAGGAATTTCGACTTCAGAGCTGGCAAGTCATTGTCTTGTGTCCTTAAAAGGTCCTGCAGCTACGTTACAGGTCTGTGCTGAACTGCTAACAGTTTACAGTGTCTCTAGTTGTTGTTTGGTGAGCATCAGGAAATCAAAAGTGCTGGAAAACTGCAAGTCACTGTTTTTTCATGTCTAAACAACGCTCTGTGTGATTAAAGGACCTTCAAACCTGTAGAAAGAAAGAAAGAAAGAAAGAAAGTAAGAAAGAAAGAAAGAAAGAGAGAAAGAAAGAAAGAAAGAAAGAAAGGAAGGCTGTTGTTGATTTAGCATCCAGGAGAGAGCAGAGCACGTCCCAGCTAGTAGAAGCTAACCGTTAGCATCAGCAACTCCACAACATGGTGGAACTTCTGCAGGCTTGTGTTATTAGTAGAGATAAAACATCAACATTGCAGAGCAAAGGAGCCAGTGTTAGAGGTGGCATTGGCCATAGCCAATCAGACGGGAGATGTCCAATTATCAGGAAATAATGGGCCATTCCCATCTGTACCGGGTCGGCCCGGGCCGGGTAGCGTAGGTTATTTACATATGTGGGTGGCCTGGCATTTTTCCGGGCCAACCAAGGCTCATTCTCAGCCCTCTTCTCGAGGGGGTCTGCTTCAGGCAGACCAGGGCCAACACACCCACTGCTGACAGCAAATTCACACCTTCCATTAGAGCAAGTCTCTGATTGGTGGGTAGAATCAGCCCACATGGGCTTAAGGCAAGGATGTGTGGAATCAACCGGGCCAGGCTGGGGCCAACTGGGGCTACCTGGCCCGGACCGACCCGGTACAGATGGGAATGGCCCATAAGACTCCAAAACCTGTCGTCTGCCGCTCCTCTGGCTCCTTTCTAGTTTCTGAAACAGGAGCACCAGAGGTTTTTTCCCACATAAATAAACTCACAAGGCATTCATTTGTGCCAGAGACTGCTGCAAATGGATTGGGAAAAAAGGAGCTAACTTTAAAATCATACGCATAATCATATATAACTCACAATAACTGCTCCAAATGCTCAGCTTAACTAAAATGAACAGAAGGATCCGATTACCATCCTTTGATGGGTTTTTACTGTACTTGATTCACAAAGACCTTCCTTTGGGGAGATATGTTGATACAATCATAGTATTAGCTAAATTTTTTATTTATCTGGAAATATATATATATATATATATATATATATATATATATATATATATATATATATATATATATATATATATATATATATATATATATATATATATATATATATATATATATATATAGTTCAACACAAATAGAAAAAAAGACACTCCAGCGGATAGCCATGTTTGTTTTAACTGGTGTTATTTGGGTTTTAAAATCTGCTCTTGAATAAAGACATGTTGTAGTTGCAGGCTTTTAGTCTAAAGGGAGACGCGGTACTGAAGAACCAAGGTGCAGTGAAAGGTTTTAGACTTGCAGATAATTGCTGCAATTGCAGATGATTTAATGCACACTAAGGCGCCTGCTCACTGCGCTGCTGATGAATGTGAAGCCAGGAGAAAACGGAGAACTTCACAGGCTCTGTGACACGTGTCGGTGTCCCTCATTCTGATCACGTCAAAACAAAGTCATAGACTCCTGAGCACCTCCGTCCCGCAGTTTTCCAGATCATTAAAGACAGGAATGAGGGAAAATCTAAGAAAAGGAACAGACAAGGAGATGCGGATTCTCTGATCCTTTCCAAGCAAAAGCAGAGGTGGGAACAAGAGTTTCACCACGGTTTTGGTCTGACGTGTTTTCAGCACTCACAGCGGGCTTCCCGTTCTCTTCTAGAGTACTTGTGGTTGATGTTCAGAGATACTGCGTCTATGCCGCGACTCCAAACCAGTCTAAAAACTACAACACAGATGTTGCCCCCGAGTTCAAACATGTCAGCTTAGCAGCAAGAGGGGTAGAGAAGAATGAATGTCAGTCACTGCAAAAACTTTAAAACCTCAAGCTCTCTTGGCACGACTCTTGTGTGATAGAGACATGTTGGATTTACTCTTGTGGTCTGCTTGAGCGCAATCCTTTAACTAGAAACAGCTACAAATCCTCATTTTCAATTACAATTTAATGTAAATGGATAGTTATGATAAATGATAAAGGCGCTTGTATAGTGCCTTTCAGAGTCAGAGGACTCCAAAGCCCTTTGCAGTTCATCCATTCACACACACACATTCACACACTGGTGGGGATGAGCTACGATGTAGCCACAGCTGCCCTGGAGTGCACAGACAGAGGTGAGACTGCTGAGCACAGGCGCCACCGGTCCCTCTGACCACCACCAGCAGGCAAGGTGGGTTAAGGGTCTTGCCAAAGGAGACAACAGCAGAATTCTCTGTCCGGAGCCGGGATGCATGGACGTAATTTGGGGGGGGGGGGGGGGGGGGGCATGCCCCCCGCTTTTTCCAAAGTCAAGTTTTGACCCCTGCACTTTTTACCATCCAAAAACAATATTACGCTATATTAAATTGACACTGGTTGAGCTCTAGGACCAAGCGGAAAACAGCCGTTTGTGTTGAAGCCGGTTTCCCATTAGAGCATACTGTAAAAATACCCCCCCCCCCCCCCCCCCCCCTCTCTAAAGTGAAAATACATCAGTCTGGAATAAAATCCACATTTCTACTTAAATTATCTTAAATTATCACAACATGTCCTATAGGTTATAAATTGTAAGTCGCTTTGGATAAAAGCGTCCCCTAAATGAATAAACATAAATTAGCATCCATCAGTTTGAAGTTCTGGCTGGATGGACAAGCTAACGGCTAGTCAAAGTCAAGCCAGTGTCAAAAATGTTTTAAATAGTTCTTATCCAAAATCCTTCACAATAATTCACATTTATGTTTGATTTAAAACAGATCAAAACTCACTGTATAACACTCCAAAAGAAAAACCATTCATCGGTTTTCTGTCAGTGTTTGGTTTTGCAAAGTGTGCCTAAAATGGGCTGTTTCAAAAAGTCCCCATTTGGGACTTCACTAAGGAGAATTTGTTTTTAAACAGCTCGTTATGAATAGAATGAAAGCACTCCTCGTGTTAGCTGCCACTCTGAGCCCCTCCTGGATATCAGAGCTTCTCAGCCTATAGCAGCCTGAGTGAGATCATGGGTGGGCATGGCCAGTTTCAGCTTGGTTTCTGAAAATGACAGAACCCTGAAACGACTCATTTTGGAAGGTATTGAAAATGTCAAAAATGAAACTGCTGAAATCTCTTTATTTGAGAGGGAGTCATAGTATGTCCCTTTTGAAGCTGTTATAGCAAATCTGCAAACATGCTGAACAAGCTGCAAACAAGCTGAACGCAAACACGGTCACTTTCCCCTCTCTCTGGGTATCTTCCCTGGATCGTTGTCCACTGGAACTAGAAACCAGCATTGACAGAGGAAACGACATATTGCTAAACACCGGTGGCTGTTTTTTAGCTCCAAATGTCTTCTTGTCAGTGACTTCAAATGGGGTTTGTCGTTTTGGGACTCTGGTAATTTGTCCCAAAGTAGAAGTGGTAGCAGCCGGCTGTTTCTCCTTCTCTGATATTATTGAGAACTTCTCACACCAGTTGTGTTCTGTTGCTGATGACATGAGTGCGTAATAACTTGACGACCCAGGAAAGTGCCGTGGTTCAGCCAGACCGACAGCCGGCTGGTCCAATGGCTGCTTTCAGTTTGAAATGTGTTATTGCTGGAGGTATTCAGACAAATGCGAGAGAACCACTTTAATATTTTTGTTTGTTTTTTCATCTCGACAATATGCTTATGGCTAAATGATGTTAAAATGCTGTTAAGAAGCATAGAAAATATATTTGTATTCTAAATCGGCTTTAAATGGTTCCATATTTATCTCTACTGATTTCTTCAGCGATGGACCACGTATCCATTCTATGTAATATTGTGTAATCCAATGTGCAGAATGGTAAATCTTTATGAAATATTACCAGCATTAAACTGGCCCTTTTGTGACTAGCCGTTAGCTTGTCAGTTCAATAAGAATCAAACTCTGTTTATCTGAACAGAGGCTGATCAGAGAGGTACATCTACAAGAGGTAAGACATTAACTGCTCACGTTCTTCCATGAATGTACAGATCGGCATTATCTCATTAAAAGCGTCAAACATGTACACACTCAACATTAAATGAAAAAAGTGTCTCCAGTTTGACTCTTGACGGGTGGGTTTCTGCAGTTGAGAGGGTTTTTCTGAGCTAAGCGAGGACAAAACGAGTTTTAAAACAGTTTTATGTCTGATGTGTGTTGTTTTATTTATTTATTTATTAGTTTTTGTTTGTTTGTTCTTTTTTTATTTATTTTTTATTCCCTCAGACGACAAAAGCTCTTTGTCTGGTCTGTTATATTCATGATAAACGGCCTAACAAATCCACATAAAACACTGAGACTCTTTGTGACAAAAGCAATGAAATCATATTTCGGACTTTAATATTGTTTTATAAACTATAACACATGTGCACATTGCTTTTTTCACAAGGCCATTTTTTTACAGCGGTGCTTCACTTCCTACTAAAAGCCACATTTTTGTTTCCTCATTGTCACATTTAACCTGACTAAACAACTCTTACCCAAAAGACCTGAAATTTCTCATTTAAAGGGACTTTACGGACTTTTTAATTTTTATGCTCGCGATTGCCCCCTCAGGTCAAAAGTGTAACGACAGCTTCAATAGTAGGCTCGTGCACGAGGCGAGCATGCTGTACGTGCACACTCAACGAAAATAACAGCTGAGACAGTCCCTTGTGTGTGTGTGTGTGTGTGTGTGTGTGTGTGTGTGTGTGTGTGTGTGTGTGTGTGTGTGTGTGTGTGTGTGTGTGTGTGTGTGTGTGTGTGGCCCGGAGGACAGAGGACAGGAGAACGTGCAGCTAATTAATTAAATAATTTGGTTCTGTACCTTTCTCTTCAGCACAGCCGACAAAGGTTTATGATGGGTCAGTCCTCCTGCATGCTCAGATCATTCCCTTCCCTTGCTTGAAAAATTGTTTCAAAATGAAAGTTGAACCCACATCTTCTTTATCTGTGAATTCAATGCCGTTCGGCGAGTCTCAAATAAAAATTTGGGTATCTTACTGTAAAAATATATACCTTTAATGTAAAAAAGAAACTCTAAATAAACTATGTTCACATCCAGAATCAAACCCAGGACTTCTGCACGAGAGTCAGACATCTTACAAGGTGAGCTACACTCTAGTAGCATTCACAGTATCTGTAACTTTTATATCCTCGATGACAGCTGAAACAACGTCAAACCAAAGAACGGTTCAGAGCTAAAATGGCTATTTTGTTGCTAATTTGCAGGAAATATCTAGAAGAAAGTTCTACAGAAAGTAACTAAGGGTCCTCAGAAATGTAGCTAGCTTTGTCACTAGGCGGCACTGCCTCTCTCTCTGCTGCTAAAGCTACTGATAGCAAATGCTACGGGCGATGCCTGAGCGTGAACGCGCATGAAGCAGCCTGCTCGACCCGAGCAT